TATTGCAAATACCAGCAGGGTCACCCATGGTGAACAGGTTTCAATGGAGCTTCCAGAGTAAGACAGACTATGAAGAAAGGCCTAGTGATCCACTTTGAAAAATTAGCCAACGTAAACCCTGTGGATCACAAGAGAACACTGACACAGAAGGTGAGCTCCATAGGTCGGAAGGCTCCCAGAATACACAGTGGTCACAACAAAGGACATGGGCTTACAAGATCACGAAGATGATGCAGGATTGGGCAGCATTTCATACACAAGGTTGCCGTGAGTCAGGATCAACCCAATGGCAGGTGACAACAGCCATACGTCATCTAGAACAGGTGAAAGGACAATCCCAGGTACATGAAATCTCTTGCCTAAGATCACACAGTCAATAAATGGCTAAGACAGAATTCAGTCTCCCACTCAAGGTCTCTGTGAACTGCCACATGGCCCTACAAACTGAGTAATGGCTGTGTCCTGCACACGAGTTGCCGCCTGCCTCTGAGGACCCCTTTCCAACTGCCTGAACCCTACTCTCATCCTTTCTGTTACTCAACTCCTTTCTGTCCCAAAGCCCTGTTTTCAATCCACTCTCCAACCTGACGTCCTTTTTGATCTCTGCAGCCAGATGGCCCCCAGGGTTGGAATGTTATTAGTTTTACTCACTCCCTGCCCCGAACGCCATCAGCCTGGAGATGACCCTGCCCCATATCACATCTAGCATATTAAAATGCACTCTTATACCAGGTTATATGCACGTTTTTCCTGTAAAACATCTAAATAGTTTCAGAATTTGCTTTGAAATCCTCATTCTGTGTAGAAGCGACCGATCTCGTAGCTATCATCATGTGGACTTCAGAATTCTTGAGATATTGGTCTGTACATTGGTTTCAGATATGCTAATGCTGCTAGTGCTTAGTAGTAAGCTGAACACTTATTAAGACTGGTATGTCCTTTGTCGAGTTTTAAATACTTATTAGTCTCAATTGGCAAGGGTTACCCTAGTATTTTGGAGCCTAAGAATGTGTGTTTGTTTTCAGGTCTCAAGGAATTTAGCAAGTTATTGAATATCTAGATGGTGCCAAAATGTCTATCATATGAAACAGCCTGGCTCCCAACATTAACCATGTACTTCCTTGAGTAACAGTCACATGAAGGTTTGCTTCAAGCCCAGTTCCTGCCCCCAGGTAGCCATGATTTTAAGCCAATTGATAGCAGTGAATTTTGTCTTCATTGGCTGACCATTTTCTATAGTAACTAGCATGGCTGCCTACAATGAATGTTGATGAAGCCCCTTATGAAAAGTCAAGACACAAAGATACATACACCACCGCATCAAGTATAGACTCTACAAACCAGTTCCAAAAGCGTCTATGGTCATTTGACACAATGTTCCTAATGCCTCTGAAAATGTCTGAATTCTCTTGATTAAGAAAAAACAAATAAAAGGCTTTGCCTGAGATAAACAAAATGAAAGACAGTACAATGAAAGAGAATACAAAGCAAAACAAAGTGAGAATGTCTACAAGTACTCACTGTTTCATTAGTAGTTAGCTATAGATTTCTCTGAAGCCCTGAGATGAGTTACACTCATGATTTACCCAACATTTCCTGTTTCTAAAGCAACCATGGCTCTTTATTACATGGCAAAATTGGGGCCCAGGTAAATTTCCTTTGGTAGTACACAAATTTAATCAAATGGTGTCTAACAACAATGTTTTAACATGCATGATTACAGAACAGCTAATCACACCTGTTAACTGTTAAGGCTGGTGAGGGTTAGGCTGACACGGTGGGAGGAATAAGGGGGGAGGTGCCCTCTCGTTTATTCCCCTGAACTAGCCAGTAGTTCACACAATGTTTTCTTAACTCCATTAGAAAAAAAAAAATTCATTAAAAACAAAACATAACAAAAATCAGGTATACACCAAGTAGACCATGCCAAGATTTACATGAATAACTCCTTCACATCTCAAAGCCCTGTTTTCAATCCAATCTTTGACCTGAAGCCCTTTATGATCTCTCTAGCCAGATGGCCTCTAGGGTCACAATGCTAGCTGGTCTACTAACCCCCTGGCCAGCCCTCTTTAAGAACTTCATTAGCCAGAAGACCCTAATGCTTCTCAAAATGTTTGCATTCTCTTGGTTAAGGGGGGGGGAGGCTTTGCCTGAGATAAACAAAATAAAGGACAGTGCAAGGGAAGAGCATATAAAACAACACACCAAGTGGGAATCTCTAGAAATACTCACTGTTTCATTAGCAGTTATCTACAGATCTCCTCTGAAGCCCTGAGAGGAGGCTATGCCATTATTCAGAGTGCAGACCATCCTGGTAGATATGGGCATACCTCTATTTATTGCACTTTGCTTTGTTGAGTTTTGTAGATATTGCACTTTTTACAAATTGCAAGTTTGTGCCAATCCTACATCAAGCCACTCTATCAGCACCATTTTTTCCAATAGCACGTGCTTACTTTGTGTCTCTGTAGCCCATTTTGGTCATTTAACGATACCTCAAACTTTTTCATCATGCTATTGCATGCTTCATAGACAACAGTGTTTGTTGTTGTTGTTATGTGTCATCAAGTCGGACCTGACTAATAGCGACCACTCCTTGGATTTCTGAGGCAGTATTAGTACAGAAGTAGATTGCCCAATCTTTCTTCCGAGGAGTGGCTGGTGCGTTTGAACTGCCAGCCTTCTGGTTAGCAGTCTAGTGCCTTAGGCACTATGCTACCAGAGCTCCCTAGACAACAGTATCAGGTAAAAGTAACTTTTATATGCACTGGGAAACCAAGAAAATCAGTGACTTGCTTTATTGCAATATTCACTTTATCGTGGTGTTCTGGAACCAAACCCCCAATATCTGCAAGGTATGTCTGCACTCATCCTTTAGTATAATAAACTTGAAATCCTGGAAAAATGTGGAACAAAATTCCAAACCACAAAAATGACCAGAATTAGTGGTTGGATAGAGACTGATGCAACCCCTGAGACTATGGCCCTGGGTTACTCTTTGGGCCTAGAAATGGACTCATTTCCATGGATTGGCTCTCAGCCCAACAGTAGAAAGACCTACATGCAGAACACCTAGCCCAGGTCAATGCACCCACCTACTCTAGGGAGATGCATCCTTTAGATCAATCAGCCATGGGACACCAGAGGGGCAGCATTCACACAGAGGGAAAGCTGGAGAGACAGGATGCATGGATATGTAGGGCACAGGGAGGGGTGGTCACAGGCAGTGAGGGGAAGACAGCTGTTTTTGTGGTTGGGGATGGTAAACAGGGCCGTGAAATCAAACGTGCATGAACTGATGAACGTAAAACAAATCTGCTTTGTAAAACCCAAAGCACAATAAAAATAAAATAAACTTGAAATCCTCCCTTCACCATAAGTTAATATTGCTATTATTTCTACTTTTTGCCTGTGGGTTGTTTTGCAGATGTTCATCACCAACATAAACTCCAGTCTTCCCTGGGGGCTGGCCCAGTGACACCCCCCCCCCAATCACAGTTCACACTGCCCCAAGAATGCAATAGAAATCTCAGCGTTACCACCTTCTCAGAGAATCACCCAAATCCTTAACAATGAGCGTTCCAAGTTCTATTGTGAACTGCGAGGAGAAGGAGAGGCATGGGGACACAGTCAGGAGGGAGTAGGGGGACCTGTGTCCTTCGAGGCCGGAGGGGCTGCCCCACCTCTTTCCATTGCTGTCCCGGAGCATGGCTTTCCCCATCACTCTGGACTTGGTCTCCAGCTCCTGCACCTCCTCCAGCAAGGTTTTCTTGCAGGTATGCTTGGCCCTGGATCACAAGGAAGAGACAAAAAGAACAGAACATATAAACTTCACACAGCTGTGAAGACTGGTAGTTGTGCTCGCTCCAGGAAGTTGGAGGTAGTGCTGGAGATACACCTCTTCTTGACCACAGGAAGAGTGGCCTGCATACCTTTTGTCCTCTCAGACCACAATCGGACACCCACTTTCTGAGGGTGAGACCTGTGATATGATGGGGCACCCACAGCCCACATCTGGCACAGGGTTTAATTTCAGAAGGCCCAGGAAGCCTCCCAGACCCCACAAATATTCAAAGTCATCCACCCCAAAAGAATACTGCTTATCTCTGAAAACAACCAAACCAACCCCTATAGATGTGACTCAGAGGCTGAGGAGGTGGGGAAGGCCTCAAGTTACTAGAGGGGCAGACATGGCAGACCCCAGGTATTCAGACCAAAGATATTCATGGGTCTGTCTCTAAAGTAGTTCACTGTGGCATATGGAAACCCAGAAGGTGCTTTGAACCCTGACTCCAAAGGACATTTCCTGACCCCTACCGTGAGGAGCGCTGATGACGCAGTGGTTAAGTGCTTAACTGCTAACCAAAAGGTTGGTGGTTCAAAACCACCAGCCACTCCACAGGAGGAAGATGAGGCAGTCGGCATCAGTAAAGATGACAGAAACCCTATGGAACAGTTCTACTTGGTCCTATAGGGTTGGAATTGATTTAACGGCAGTGGGTTTGGTTTGGTTTTGGTTACTGTGATCAAAGAACCCTGGTGGTGGCTATGGGTAAGGGCTCAGCTGCTAACCAAAAGGTCGACGGTTCAAACCGACCAGCCGCTCTGTGGAAGAAAAGATGAGTCAGTCTGCTTCTGTAAAGATTGGCAGCCTTAGAAACATTATGGGGACAGTTCTACTCTATCCTCTAGGGTTGACAGGAGTTGGGTTGATTCACCAGCAATCTTTATATATTTATTAATTTACTGTGATCAGAGAGCCCGGTGGTTAACAGTCTCTTGCCACCCATTCCAGTGTGAAGAGAGCCACCTGCCATGGCAGGAATGGGTTTACAGAGCATGGCATTGAGAGCAACTTTAAGAGCAGGCTCTTAATGTAATACCCTTGACCTCAAATGTGGAGTCAACATTGATATTCATTTTTCTCTTGCAACAGCTTTGAACTAGGGTCTACATATATGGCTCTCCGCAGCACAAAACAGCTTGGGAAGTACAAATGCCATCTGGCCTTTCCACCAAAGTTTAAGCTAATGCTGGTTGTAGCCTCTCCTTGACCATAGAAAGAGTGACCTGCACCTGTCTTATGATTAAGCTGAGACGAACATCTTACAATTTTCAAGTAATTGGGTGATCTTGGGATCGTCATAAAATTCAGACCAAAGAGAGCTACTGGTATGAAATGTTATAAATGAAGAAAATGCAGTTAACAAGTCACAGGTTAGATACGGTAAGAGAAAAAACTGTATAAAGAAAAGAGCTCACGAGATAGAGACATGTGGGAGGTTTCATTAGTGCAAAGAGCTCTGCATTGGTTTCATGTCAATGTAAACACATGCCAGACTTCTGCTAAGGACCAGACTCAAAGCTACAGCAAGAAGAGAAGCTGATCTACAAGAAAGTAACAACAGCGTGATGGGAATATTCTGGAATGTGCACTGTTTTAGCTGAGTCATGTCTTCTGGCCCACCTTCCACCTTAAAGGCAGAGAGTCTGTTAAGTGAATGTAGTCATCCCCTAATATCCAGGTTGATCTAGAATGGAAAGTCACTACTGAGCCCCTGGGTATGTGCCGGCCTTCAGTGCTGTCACTGGGGTCGATGTCACCACCTCCCCGCCCCCCATGGACCTCCTCCCGCAGAAGATCCTACAAAATCCTTAGTAAGGTTATTGTCTAGCATAGTGCCTAAAACACTTGACTGCTAACCAGAAGGCTGATGTTTCAAACCCACCAGCCACTCCTTGGAAGGAAGGTTGGGCAATCTACTTCTGTAGTGATACTTCCTGGGAAACCCAAGAAGCGTTCGTTATGAGTCGGGGCTGACTTGACAGCACATAACAACAACAACAACAAACCAAACAAACTCACTGCCATGGAGTCGGATCCGACTCATAGCAACCCCTCCTTGGGTTTCTGAGGCAGTATCACTACAGAAGTAGATTGCACCATCTTCCTTCCGAGGAGTGGTTGATGGGTTTGAACCACCACCTTTCCAGTTAGCAGTCAAATGGCTACTTCTGAGACATAACTAAACACTTCAAGGGACTGGTTTCTGAATTTAAAGGAGTAGGACCACAGTTGTGTAGGATATCTCAGTCAATTGAAGTAATACAGTTCATAATGTTATATGCTACATCCTAGTTTGGTGAGTAATGTCTGGGGTCCCAAAAGCTTGCAAGTGGCCATCTAAGATACAATTACTTGACCAGAGGAAAAGAAAAAGAAGGAAACCAAAGACTCAACAAAGAAAGTAGCTACAGGAACCATGTCTTAAATTCTCAATGTAGATAAAAATGGAAATACAATGGATTGTTAATGATATTCGTTTCAGTAGAAATTTTTTTTCTAAGGGCCATTTGTATATATTAATTGCTTGTTACCTTTCATTTCCGTTTAACTCCCTTTCTGAGGTTTTTAATAAGGAAATGAAGTCATTCTGGAATTGCCAAATGTATTGTGTGATGACAGGTAAAATACAGGAGATACAGTTAGATAAAAACAAACAGGTTCCTATGTGTCCAGTGGCCTTGAGCGTTCTATTATTTTTATAAAGCAATCCTGATGCTGAATTTTTCCTATACGGGAATAAGTCCATGGCAACTTACCTAAGAATGTTGTCATAGGTAAACATTTTGGAAGAGTGTAAGCTAAAGGATATTAAAATAGCTCTGGGTAATTTAAACTTCATGCTTCTAATAAAAACACTCATTAGCCAGGTATCACATATAATCAATCACTTATTTTAATAAAAGATATGTTAGTTTGGTCCCTCATGAAAATTCTGGTTAACAGGATAATACACTCACTGCTATCGAGTCGATTTCAACTCGTAGCAACCCCTATTGGGTTTCCAAGGCTGTAAATCTTTATGGAAGTAGATTGTCCCATCTTCCTCCCATAGAGAAGCTGGTGGGTTTGAACTGCTGACCTTCTGGTTAGCAGCCAAACGCCTTACTCACTATGCCAGCAGACAATAACAGGTTAGGTATTTTATGGAGTTCTAAATCAGAGATCTAATCATGGATCTTCACCTAGAAAGTTGATAGACTTCATAGAAAAAATGAGTGGATAATGTCATGCTCTTACTCTGTTTTTACTTGGAACAGTCTAGGTCGTGAAATGGAGGAGAAAGGCTGGGCTCTGAAAGGGGAGAAATGCAGGGGGCAAAACAGTGTTGACAAGTTCCTAGGAATATATTTGGAAAGGCTGGCCTGTTTTGTGCTGGGTCTAACCACTTTTCAAAGAGGAGTATAACCACCAACCTTTAAAAATATACCCCAAAGTCCTTAAGACTGGGCCAATGCAAGAGTCAGGAAATGAGTGGTAAGGGCTATGCAACGTGATGAACGTAATGCGAGATTCAAGCAACTCTACAGGCTGATTCACCATATAACGTGTTCTTCAGATGCACCTTAATTCATAGTCACTGACTTAAAAATGTTTCTCAGAAGTTCAAGGTATCTTAATAATGCTAGTGTATCATGCCCCAGGGAGCGCACATACAAACACTTAAACCAAATGATGGCTGGTTATGGTGAGTTATGAACAAGCAGGATGCGTATTTACTCAGGATGTGTGTACAACCAGAATATTCTGAATGCCAGGATTCAGAAAGGAAAATCACAGGTAAGCCGTGTGGCCTTGTCAGAAGCAAGCAACTAATGGCACACTTTCTCTTCTCACAAAAAGCACCCCAAATTTACTTGACACCAAACCAAGTATTTCAAGCTCAGAGTATGTTTGGTTCTCTAGTGCTGCTCTAACAGAAACACCATGGGTGGATAGCTTTATCAAACAGAAGTTTATTCTCTTACAGTTTTGGAGGCTAGAAGTCCAAGTTCAAAGTGCCAGCTTTTGGGGCTGGGTGAAGGCACCCTGACCATGGGCTTCAGCTCTGCCTCCTGCTCCCAGCCCACAGAAACTGGAGACTTCTCTTAACTCAGGCAACTGCTGGCTGCTAAGGCTGACAAATCCAAGGTCAACAAGTAAAATGGCATGATCCCAAGATTATTAAGCAACATGGCAGACTTCTAGTTAAA